CCCCCCCACACACACACCCAATCCCGTATCCCCAGCACCATACTCAGTGCAGACGTTTCTCAGAAAAATACAAACAGACCCCCTCTACCTTCCCATCCCCACAACAGAGCTCCTCTACCACCCACCCCACCTACCAAAAATAAAACAGCCACTTGCCCATGCAAAATATTATAATGTGGTTTGTTTATGTGCTCTCCTGGAGTGGGCAGTTGTGGGGTTGGGAAACCAAGGGGGTGGAGCCTGGGGACAGGTGGCCAGCACCCAAGTCTCTGGCCCTCTCCACATGGGTGCACATGCCATGGTGAGTCTGGTGAGCAGAGGGCTCACCCAGGGTTAACAGTGGCCACTGGTCTCCCAGTGCTGGCAGCTCCCCCTCTTGCAGCTGGTGGCCAAGGCCAACAAGGCCAGACCACAGTCCTTAACCTGGTACAAGGAGATCTGGCTCTGTGCCCATGTGAAGCTGGGATGAACAGTAGTGCTGGGTCCAGGTGGGGGGGATGGGTAGCGGGGGACTCTGGCAGGGACCAGGGCTCCTGGCTGGTGACAGTGGCACTAAACCCCTGCCCAGGCCAATGAGGAGGCCTGCTGCTGGGCAGCAGGTAGCTTCCAGGGGTCATAAGGGGCTAGGGGCAGGGGCAGGGAAGCAGGAAACATGAAGGTGACTGCCAAGGCCAGGACAGTGTCCAGCATTGGGCAGTCTTCCTTAATGGCCTGTGCTGCCCTGGCTAAGAATATGCTTTAGTCCCACAGGGCCTCCATGCACTTGTGCTCCACGGTGCATGAGGAGCTGCATGCTGAACTCCCGGTCTCCCCAGTCCTTTGCCTCCTCATCCCAGTTCCATGCTTCCTCATACCAGTCCCACACGTCCTCATGGGCATGTCCTCTGCTCACCACCTGTCCTGATGGGCAATGTCCTCCACCCACCACATCTACGCATCCACCTGTCAGTCCTCCGTAACCATCACAAGCCAGTCCAGAAGGAAAGTCAGATCCTGGGTCCTCCTCCTACAGAGCTGGCACAACCCCATCACCCCAGCTGTGGGTGGCAGTGACCCTGAGGCCCCATCCTAGCTGCCAACTATGGCACATGCAGATGTAGAAAATAAGATGCTCTGTACCAGGAGCTGTGTGCTTCCCGGCCTCAAATCAGGGGTTCAGTGTGCATGGATGCTCAAGGACCATGCTAAGTTGTTTGTCCAGGCAGCCACTGGCCAAGCCCCCTCACCCCCGTTCACTCCCCTAGGGCTGGTGGGCCACTGGCTCACAGGCCAGGACAGGCCAGGCTCCTAGCACAACTTACTGCCATGGCTCAGCTGCCTGCAGTTCTTCTACTGCAGGCTGGGCTGTCTCCTGTGCTGCTGCCAAGCATATGGCAGTCAGGCATAGAGGGGAATGGGGCTTCCACGTGACTGGAACATGTAGTGCCTACACCCCCGCCCTCCTTTCAGGGACCTCTGTGGGGAGGTGGCCTGAGACCAGCCACCCACCCCCATTCTGGTGCTGTACCCCAAGCATCCCCCACATAGCAATGTGTGTCCAAGGCACTGCATGAGGAAATGTTTCCATGGACTCAGGGGTGCCAGATCCACTATGCCTTGCTGTTACTGATTGTCATTGTGCCCTGGGCAAACTTGCACACCTGGCAAGGACCGTGAGCTTTAATTGTGTGGGGGTAAGCCTGAGCTGCACGACAACCTCTGCTACCACTTGGAGGGTTACCTATGGCTGTGATACACTTTCCTGTCCCGTGCAGCCAAGGAGGATATCACTGCTGGCATCAACATGTTCCTCAGTGTGTGAGAAGCCCATGCCTTCCAACTGCGGGGGAACAGACTGTTCAATAAAGTTTTGTGCTGTCTCCTGCCACCCTACATGCTGTGGTGGCAGAACCCAGGGGCCAGGGAAGTGCGGCCAGGCTGGACGGGTGGTGTGGGGGGAGAAAGCCTTACAATGCCGGTGGGGCTGTTGTGCCCAGTGGCTCCAGGAAGTCCCAGATGGCAGTGATGGCATGCAGCTCCCAATGGAATCATTTGTAAGAGGAGATTAGCATGTAGGTGCCTAGCCAAGGCCCTGCTCCAGGGGAGGAGCTGGCATTGTTTGAGGCCAGTGGTTACATGGCTGGCTGCACCTTGTGGCTGGGTCTGAGGCTGCAGAGTTGTCAGGGCAGGTTCTGGCCTGGCCTCCCCAAGCTGTTGGTGAAAGCTGCATGTGGGGAGCTCAAAGGGACAGGCTGCTGGTGCCCTGAGGGGCCCTCTCCTAGTGATGTTACTGTGGGTGCCAGGCTGGAGTGGGGACTCAGGCAGGCCTTCCATTCTGCTGTACACAGCACAGTTGCAGCCTGGGTCCCATGGCACAAGGATGTCATCCAGTTGCTGCATAAAGGTCATGGACTTGCGGGCACCCACTGACCAAAGACTGTAGTCAGTGATGGTGACTCACTGTGCCCACCAAGCCTTCACCTTTATGTACTGCCACAACAGCTGGTTGTACCCGTTCTCCTGCATCTGACTTAACAGCCCCTCAGATATGGGCACTGGAGTACCCACCTCACACAAACTGGTGCTGCACTTCTGCCTTGACCCACAGTGCCACAAGGTCACCACTCTTCTCCTATGACCAGCTGGGGCCCCTGGTGGTGGCATATGACATTGGTGATGATACCATTGGGGGTCTGACGATGGCCTTCCAGGACTGGGCAGCTGCCTGTAGTGCCCAGCACAGGGAAAGAACATGAGACTAGAAGCCATGCAGCGAGGCAATGCCCCACAGAACCTACAGACTCTGGACAGGCTGCCCAGGGTTGGCTGCAAAAATCTGGAGATGTTCCCAGTGGCCAGGAGCTGGCTCTTGTTGGGCCTGGGTAATGGCAGGAGCCTACAGCAGCCTGCAGGTCTGGACAGCATGGGCCTGGGAGCCATGTGACACTGTCATATCAGGCAGTGGCACCAGGGTACAGGCAGGCTGGCACAGATAGCACATGGCAGCAGAGGCCAAGAGTCCCCCAGGTTCCCTTTTGTTGTGCTCTGGGGCTCAAAATGCCTTCAGGCTTTTAAAGGCCCTGTGGCTGGGGTTGCCAGAGAGGCTTCCAGTCCTGGGGTTATGGGACTGAGCTCAGGCTGGGCTTCTTGTGGCTGGGCTGACCGGGAGCAAATATTCTCCCAGTTGGCATCTACACATGTGTTACCGCACAGAAAGTACACTAGAGTAAATTTGCTATTTGCATTTGCAGGTAGCAGATTTACTCATGGGTAGTGAAGTCAACTGCGTGGTAAGCATGTGCATATGCAGGTGCTCATGCTTACTGAACAGTAAACTATGCTACTGCACAATAAAGACTCCCATGTAGATGAACCCTCTGTGTGTTAAATACTGGGGTCAAGCTATTTCATGAATATTTTGGGGAATGCTCTGCTTTAAGGTAAATATTACTGTAGTAACATGAAACAGCTGATTCCAAAGAGGGCACAAAACATCAGGGCCTAATCCCGAGTTTTTAAACAGCAGTGGAGCTCCAGTCATTTCAATCCTGAATTTTTAAAGGCTTCTGATTCGGCACTACTTATATCAGTATTACATCACTGCAACTCCATTGTCTTTAATGGAAGCATACCTCGTACATTTGGTGCAAAAAGATAGTAAAAACTCACGTTCTTTTACTAAAAAAGTATTTCAAATTCCCATGAACCAATTGTGATCCCATTTATACAGGCACAGGAATAATGAAAATATAGAACTTGTACCCGAGGAAGTCAGGATCAGGCCCTACATAAAAGAAAAAATAATCCCAAGGCCAACATTTTATGACCTGGCATTAGGCCCATAAATAGATATTTCACATTTACATGACTAAATGAAATTTAGAATGTGAAATTATTAGCCACTCAAATTTGAAAATGTTAAGGAAAAAAGAATGCAAATGTTGGTGTAAATGAGCCAAGATCCTAAATTTTATTTGAATACTTCTTAAACTAAGGACTAAGTAGTAAAATCCTCCAGTCAATCTTTCTGATTATTCATTTGCAGCAGTGTGAACCATTCTAGAAATAACTCCACTGTCAGTGCAGAAATTCCTTATGAGCTCAATGTTTCTATATCAGAAAGACAGTTCATTTAAATTGATCTCTCCATAAATCAACATAAGACTATTATTACTCACAGTAAATGGACTAAACAGTACTCTCTAATATATTTTCCCCCAGTTTTGGACATTTGGATGTTGATGAGGATTTAGGGATTAACATTTTTGAAAATGAATAATTTTCCAAGCACTGATAAATTTTCCCTTACTTCTTCGTTTACTTCACCAGTTTGCTGGACATTAACCTTGGTTTTTGAATGAGAGCTACTTCATAATCTCG